AATTAGAAGTGAAACCAATGCTCCTTGAAAACGTAATATGGACATTTTAAGAATAGTTTTTAGGTAATCAAATGTATAATTTACAGAACACCGATTATTGAAATTATTGAACGCTAAAATTCTTACAAGTCAAGTTTGAGGTTTAAGAACAAGTTGAAGACATCAAGCTTTGTGGTGTATTATTGTTTGGTGTGGAATTTTTAATAACAGGGTGATTGGTCTTGTAATTTACGAGGGTATTTTTACTGGAGTATGATGATCGGAGTTTCTACAGAGCGCAATATCTAATTTTGTTGAAAGTCTGTCTCTGATTCAATAAAAAGTATGGTTCCTCCTCCAAAAGTAAAGCAATACCTGGTAGAGGCATCCCAGCATCAAATCATCAGGAATAGTGGTTGTGCAGAAAGGCCTCATGCTCACCAGGTCTGACCCCACCTGAATTTTTTTTGTGGGGTAACATAAAACTGCAGGTGTATACGAACCTTTACCAATACTACGTTACTTTAAGTGACATGTTACTCATGTTTGTGCCTAGCATATCAGATGATATGCTGCAAAATATATACCATGAAATAAAAAAAAAGTCAAGACGTGTGTTATAACTGACGGATAACATACTGAACACTAAGAATAACGGTCTCTAATGATAATTAGCTTTTTCTTTTTTTTCATGCTTTTGTAGTGTAAAAATGCAGGAAATGGCGAACAAATCATTTAACATTTTACACGTTTTGTTATAAGTATTATTGTGCACAGAGTATTTTTCGTACTAAATTGAACACGCTGTACGATTTTATAGTCCTCTCCCGCATGTCTTGCAGTTTTCGAGGTAGGTTGCAATTCTGTTGTGTGCCGCTTGGTAGTATCGTAACCAATCTCGTCTTGTTAGCACATAGAAATGTCTCTAAAACTAAATACTTCTTTTAAGGCATTATCATCACTCTCAAGTTAAGGGGGAGGTCTTAAATAGGCTGAGAGTCGTGGGGTTCTGTCTTTAATATGAAGGCTACGGTAAAATATTCAAGACGGTATGGCTCGGGTCTCTAAGTTTGTAACTGGCCTTAAACTCGAGATCTAGGTGGTATTCTGGGGACTGATCTAATCCATAATCGAGTCTGTGGGTCAGCCTTTTTGCGTTTCTTTAAAGGCGGATTATATTACTGCTTCAAAGGAAGACACGGGATGCAGAATGGTTTCTGTTGGAAGTGGCAGAGATAACTATTCAACCATCGGTCCCTTATCACCCCTCGAGGGGTGGACTTTAAAATCGGAGATTGGTACGAGAACTTCACCGGTTTCTCATTAGCTATGACCCCAGTAAAGCCAAAGGTTTAATTAGTGCACAATTTATGTGTCGGCATTGTTCTGGATACTTCCCACGAGAAACTAAGTGACCGTTAGGAATTAATTTTATACTTAGCAGGAAGTGGATCCTTTAGTGGAGACTACCGCACTTTAATTTACTCGTTAATAAATTCAAGTAGCCGTTTGGTTAAAAGTTTAAAATTTTAATGGAGTATTTGATAGCTATATATACACACAGAATATTATTGAATTTTACAGTATAAGAAAATCATTGTTTAAAAAAAGTGTATTTATACAACGGTTTCGGATGGAATCGTATAACAATGCTTTTCCTAGAAAAGTTTAAAAGAAAATTGTGTTGTTTTATTGGTTGCAGGATTATCGCAGGCCTGGGCTATTGCATCTAGGACATACTTTTCAACACGATAACTCCTGGCCTTACACCGCGCGTGTTGCTATGAATTGTCTTCGAGCTTGCCCTACACTTCCTTAGACTGCTAAGTCCTCTGATCTCTCTCTCATAGAGCACATTTGGGACGTTACGGTAAAGAGATTACAAATATCCCACATTATTGACGACATAGCCCAACATTTGGAGACTATTTGGCACGAAATTTCACAGGATACCATCAGGGAACATTGTCAGTCTCTGCCACGCCATGTGACAGCTTATATCTAGGCTAGATGTGAATCAACGCCTTGACTTCCTTTCTTCGGAACCGTTAAACTCTGAAATAATCATTCAATTTCTCGGAAATTTCATTTGTTTTTCTCTATGTGTTCTTCATATCCACCAATTTTTATCGCAATCTGGCCGGTCCTTCGCAGTGCGACATTTTCTTAATGTAAAATTAAAAAAAAAACATTATTAAGATTATAAGAATTTCTTCATTATGTTCAGTGCATCACAGTAAATTACAATTTGTATCATTAGTAAGCAATTTATTATGATTTTAAGGAATTACAAAGCATTCTGTATGAAGTATGTTTCTTAGATGTAAATTCATACATAAGAATTTTAATTGTTTGCCTCCCTTCACCGAAATTAATAGAAGTACAAAATGTAACATTGTACGCTCCGACACGAACACCAAGTGATACTTTGATTTGACCGCCTTGTTTCCTTTAGTCCAATTGAACGTCCTCTCTCAAATGATGAATTCTGCTCACATTGTTTGGGAATCAGTCTGCGAGACATTGGTTCAGATCACGTGGTCGATGGGAAATTTGCATGTAAGTGATGCCATCTGAATACTGGAGCTCCAGAGAGACAGTGACGGAGCGCCAAAAATTAACCACTGGCATAGTCCATCGTAAGATATGCGCATGCGCAGTTTCATCTTATTCGGATAACTCCGTTTTGGTACGTTGTTTTTTACGTAAAGAGCAAGGATGTCAAACTCAAAGGCTAACTCGAACCCAACATACACGGTTTCAGTTAGGTGAACTGCAAAAAAAAAAAAATATTCATAGAAACGTAAGTTTATTTCGAATAATACATTAAATAAACATATAAATAAAAGAACAAGAAAAATTTGTTTACGTCCTGACACTTGACATATCATCTCTGCTACTATCTTTTCTTTTACGGGAAATATTGCGGCATTTTATTATATATTATTGTGTGACGATATACTGGATGGGCTGCAAAAATTCGTAGTGGGCTACATGCGGCCCACGGGCCCGAGGTTGACACCCCTCTTATAGAGTGTATGTGTTAGTAACAGGTTCATATCTATTGCAATATTTCAAAAAGGCAATAACAAAGATTTCAAAATTATGACGGGAAATTAATATAAAGGACACACACACACACACACACACACACACACACACCCACACACACACACACACACACACACACACACACACACACACACACACACACACACACACACACACACACACACACACACACACACACACACACACACACACACACACACACACACACACACACACACACACACACACACACACACACACACACACAAAACACACACACACCCCAAAACCCCAAAAAAAAAAAAAAAAACAGAAAAAACCCCCAAAAACAAAAAAAAAAAACCCAAAACAAAAAAACCAAACACAAAAAAAAAAAAAAAAAAAAAAAAAAACAAAAAACAAATGAGAAGGATGATGTAATTTGTGATTTAATAAGTTACATTGCGGCGTACTTCATATAGGAAAAAAATCCATAAATAAACTTTATTTCTTAGTTTATTATTGTTAATATTTTGAGTCATACGTACAGTTTCTTTAATATACAAAATTCTGTAAGTGCATGGAATCTCTAAAGGAATTCGGCTCTGATGTAATTTATTTAATTTTCAGATAAGATATAAAAATATAAATATTCTAGAAATTAATTAGTACACAATTAGCAAAAGCTGTGATTTTTTTTTTTAGGCTTAGGTATAAATTTAATAAAACACTGTTACGATTAGTTAATTCTTTTCTGATACTGTATAAAGGTCCTGTGACTGTATTTAATTTACAATATGAACTTGGAAATCTTATGTATTAGAGATATATCAGCAATATTTCTTACGTCACTTTTGTTCCACATTATGAAATGTTTACAAAACTTTTAATAAATCCATATTCAGGATCGCTATTCCTTTATTAAATATATATATATATATATATATATTTACTATGCTGAAGATTTTTTTGCGAATCAATTTTTTTAGAAATTGTGTAAATTCAGAAATCTAGAGTTTGGGCCATTTTGTTCCCATTTTTAGTTTTCCCCTCTCCTATATATTTATTTTCAGTTTAACCTCCATATTACGAACCCTATATCCGAATTTTTTTTGTATGGGAAATATTTCCGGGAAATTGAAAATTTCAGATTTTCTTCGTAAAATAACCCCCTATAGCGAAGTGATTTTCTATAACGAACTTTTTCTCTTTTAATTCAATTTTTTCCCCCCCTTTTTGGGTATTTCGACATTTCAAATTATTCCCCTTTTTAAACTTTTTGAACTGGTTTTTAAGGACCAACTACCCGAAAGGTATAATTGCTTTTTCCCCAAAAATGCAACCTTTAACCCCATTTCCAGTTAATAGAAACATCTTCATATCCCCTTCACCCTCAGTGGAGTTTCTCTGTCCCCGTGTCCCCTTTTAGTAGTGTTTATTGATAGTCGTATGGAACTTCATTTCTTGGGCTCGAAAACGTCAAAACTAAGTGTTACATCAAAAAATAAAAAAATTTTAATTTTTCAGGAAGAGCATAAAGGCGTCAAAAAACTTTTATTGCAGTTTTCTTTCTTTTTCTTATAAGTAAGGTATATAAAATAAATATATATTATTTTACAAAAGTTGTGAATAATTACTTTTTTTAAAATACATAGTGTTTATGAGTTTAAAATTTGTTTTATGTTTGTAAAGAAAATTGAAAGATGAACCTCTATATAACAAATTTTCTATATAACTAACTTTTTTTCGAGATTTAGCGTCTTCGTTATATAGAAGTCTGACTTGTTCAAATTTTCAAACGTTAATAAAATACTTTTTATTTATCTACTCAAGTTCAAATACATTTTTTAAACTTCTAGTGGGTGACACTTGATGTTAATACAGTTTTTTCAAATATTAATTCATTAATTAAATTAAAAAAATGAATAAATAGTAACAAACAAAAATAATGGTCCAACACTATATATATAAAAAGGAAAATCGCTCATTGTGTCTCTGTAGCACAATAAATAGCGCGTTGGACTTCTAATTCAAAGGTCGGGGGCTCGAATCTCTCCTGGGATGATTTAATTTCTGAGAATGTGGTTTATTTTTACTATACTATTTATTGGAATAATTAAAATTAATTAAGGAATAAATAACAACAAACAAAAATAATAGTCCAACACCATATACAGAAAGGAAAATGGAAAATTGCAAGGAAAATCGCTTTCTACTTTGCCACTTCATATTGTAATTCTGTCATATGTATATACTTATTTATAATAATTGTAATTATTTAATAGAAAGTAACTAAATTAAAATTTTCTTTTGTTGACCTAAGTAGGATTGACTTTAAAATTTTCTTTTAATATTACTTGTTTGTTCTTACGTAGCTGTTGTATCGATTTCTGGTATGTATATGTTGCAAAAATATAGCAAAGTTTTTGTGACGTGTTTTGAAAACTCAACCGAAAAGACTGACTGCAAATCGATTGAAAAAAAAATATAATGCGGCCTCATTCGACATTTAATGACTTCCCTCAGGAATACAAATCTCATAATAATCATTCCTTTTTTTACCGAGTATCGGTTACCTATATTTAGAAACCGAATACGACCTCCCTAGAGAAACGTTTTTTAGTACTTTTTCCCTCTTATATTGATATGTGAAAGTGTAAGGAAAAAAGGACACGAAGCAAAAAGTTATTAGCCTGAGGGGGGTGGGGATATCCTCTGTATTCAATGTAAAGGTCATTTTGAGCTATTGATTATCGATAGCGAGGTTATTAAGAATTTTCTAGACGTCTTCATTTTTTGTTCAAGTTTCATGGAAGCGCTTGATTTATTAGAAATGACCAATCTCATATTTTATTTATAGTCGTTTATAAAATTAAGAGATCTCTTACAAATTCATACAGAATTTATAACATACTAGATAATGTTAAATTGAATGGATTTGTTCGTAATTTATCTTTTGTCTTTTGGTCGAATTACTTCGAAGGATGGACATGCAACCTAACAAAAATGGAAGTAAAAAGACTAAGAAAAAATTCTTCCTTTCTTTATTTAAAAAATTTCATACTAGAGAAATTTTTTATTGTATTTGCTGTATTTTTAGGTTTTATGACACCACATTATCAAATTAATTAGAGTTATTTAATTTGAGTAAATAATTACTTTAAAATAGTTATATTTTTTAATTATTTTTTTAAAAAAAGATAAACTTTAATTGAACTATAATATTAATGTTCTTATTTTTTCATTACTTTACATAACTGAAATTTTTCTATTTTCAAAAAATATTGTTTCTTTTTTATTATATATGTATTACATAAATTGCAAGTTTCATTTTTATGCGACTCATTTGTTGCAATTTAGGCATTTTTTGTTTTGAAAAGGATTTATATATTCTTCTGTAGCTTGAAAAGTTATTGTCAAACTCTTATTCTATTTTGTACATTAGTTACATGGTTGCAACTCTTTGATGTGCATTTTAAATTACATTTATTAGTGTAACAGCATTTAAGAATATTATTTTGCTCAAACTTCTTAACTTGAAATCATCAATACTAAAATGAAATTTCTATATGTTTAAAACTACTTTGATAAATTTTTATATAAAACATTCACATGATTCTTTCTAACGGTATTAATGATCAACATTCTTGCATTTATCTATGAATTACTACAAAAATTTTTAAGCGCATTTTTTAATTATTTTCAATTTTTTTTAAAAAAAAAATTATGCTGTAATAATAAATTAATATAATTATTTAAAGAGAAGTTTTTCGTTTCTTCCTTTTGTAATTTTCATGTACAAATATATGTTTAAATCTCACCAAATGTTTTGAAATGTTTCAGTGTACTTAAGTAATAATTTTCATTACCTATATTTAAAAGAAAAAATACGAAAGTTTGTCGATTATTTGATATTTTAAACAGTTACAGAGATATATACGTTCTATTTTCTTATAATTAATGAAAAGAGGAAAATGTTTCCTGAAAAATAAAGTTTAATACTGAATGAAATTTAAATACAAAATAGACAAATAATAATAAAATTTCCTTATGAATTTCATTTTACTATCATTCAAAATTTTGTAGCGAGAAAGAGCCCTTTTAAAGAAAAGAACAATACTTATTTTATCCTTTCAATTAATTTTTGTCAACTTTTAGCTTAAGATTATGTGGAGCAAGTCAGTTTTAAGCTAACTTAAATATTTATAATAAGGAAATTGTGCTTATCAGTAACTGCAGATGCTCGACTGTATTCAATGATATCCACTCGAGCCGAGTAATTTCCCTTTCTGTCTCTACTTTCTCTCGTCAAGTCAATTCACGTGACTTTAAATTGTAATGTTATTTTACATAAATTGTGGATCCTTTACGGAAAGAGGTTCTCCAATTAAACAATATCTGAAAAGTATTACCCCTAGAAGATTACTTGGAGACCCGAAACGAGAACCTGTTTCAGCAGAATAATGTATGCTCTTACTCATCTGTACTACATTAATAATCTTATTTTAAATAAATTACAAGAAAATCAAGTAATACAAAAACTAGTTACAATTAATATAAATATGTATATGTATATATATACATATATGACAGAATCACAATATTAAGTAACAAAAAAAGAAAGTGATTTTCCTTGTAATTTTCCATTTTTCTTTCTATATATGGATTTGGCCCATTTTTATTGTTTGTTACTATTTATTCATTAATTAAATTTAATTATTCTAATAAAATAGTATATATAGAAAAAAAAGAAATCGCATTCTCAGAAGTTAAGCCATTCCAGGTGGGATTCGAATCCATTGCGCTACAGGGACACAACGAATGATTTTCCTTTCTATATATGCTGTAGGACTATTATTTTTTATTCATTTTTTAATTTAATTAATGAACTAATATTTGAAAAAATGCATGAACATCAAGTGTCATCCACTACAAGTTTAAAAAAAAATAAATTTAAACTTGAATGGATGAATAGGAAGCACTTTATTAACGATAGAAAATTTGAACAAGTTATATATATATACACTGGTGTGCAAAACTTAAGCAACAATGTAAAAATTTAGCAGATAGCCATGAAATTGCAGAAAAGGAGGTCTGGAGATCAGTAGAGGGAACACGTAAGTCAGTAGAAACGTCATGCGTATGCAAATATCAGGAACAAAACGTCAGAAGCGATGTGAGCTTACGCAAAACGCGTGATGTCCGCGCGCTGCTCAACAGTAGAATGAAATGGGAAAGGGCGGAGACGCAATTCCACCATATTCTCTGCAACTGCCAGTGAGTCAGTTCGTGAAATATGGCTAGAAGAAATCACCTGGATGACTTCACAGTGGAAGAATGATCGGAAAACTGGAGGGAGGGGCACTGTCACCAGTGTAGCTGCAGAGTTCGGAATCAACAAAAGGGGTCGTTTCGCGCGCTTGAAAACGTTCCAAACCACAGGTACAGCTGTTAGAAGGTTGGTGTGGCCGCCCGAGGACGACAACTGCAGGGGATGACCGATATATCATCCGCAGGCGAAAAAGTTCGACAGCAGTCAACAAGCGCCATTGCTCAGAAACTGTACAGCAACAGGTCGACAAGTGTAGCGGTTTACTGTGGCCAGACGCCCTTCACAAAGGGGGCCTGTTCACCCGCCGTCCTGAACGCTGCCTCCCGTTGAAAGATGGCCACCAAGCCACCGTTTACATTGGGACAGAGAGCACAAAAACTGGACAACTGATCAATGGAGTCGAAGGTTCTCTTTACGGATGAGAGTCGGTTCAGTACCAGAAGCGATTCTCAACGCGTTTTATTTGGAGAGATCGGGACCCGGTTTTATCCCAGTAACATCGAGGGAAAGACATCGTTACGGTGGTCCTGGTCTTGTCTGGGTTGGCATTATGCTGAACGGCGGGAACTGAGCTTCACATTTTTCGACAGAGGGTCTGTTTAAACCCGGGGGTGGCTATTGTGAGGTACTTCTTCCCCATCTGCATCTTTTTCGAGGTGCCATTGGCCCAGACTTCATCTTTATGGATGACAATACACTGCCACATCGCACTCTTGTTGTTGAGGAGCTGCTGGAAAGTGAAGATATCACTCGAATGGATTGGACAGCATGCTCCCCAGATTTAAATCCCATCAAACATGTGTGGGATGCTTTGGGGAGACGTATTGCCACACGCTTACATCATCCGGAGTACAACCAACAACTCAAACAGATGTTGATTGAGGAATGGGCACTCCTACTTCAAGAAATGTTGCACCAGCTGGTTCTGAGTATGCGGAGACGGTGCAAAGCAACCATTTTAGTAAGGGGAGGGCATATACCATATTAAGGAACATCTGCTTGTTGTTCTTCCTGTTGGATAGACAATCATGAGTCACGATACTAAGCGTTCAATAAAGCTTGTTTTGTTTGATTCCATACCGTATGCGTTGTATTCCTTTTTTAGCGCCGATGCTTTTTTCATCCTTTTTTCGTACATAATACTCTCCCCTCATTTCAGAATTTCATGTCTCTCAGATGATTTTTTTGAAGTTATGGCAATAAACCCCACCTGTTGCTTAAGTTTTGCACACCAGTGTATATATATATATATATATATATATATATATATATATATATATATATAATAAATATATATATAGGGAGAAGTGAACTAATAGTATGATTGAAAAGAGTTTTGATTTCTTTGTTGTAGCTTTTCTTAATACTCATTTATAGGTTTGTAAGAGGAATAAATAATAATAATAATTTGTTAAAGAAAACAAAATTATACATAGCACTAATGAAACGTTGCTGATATATTTCGATGAATACATTTTCATTGTGATCAAAGTTATATGCTTCATAATTTCAAATTACTAATCAATGTTTACCTATGGCATTTCGATAACTTTATTTAAATGTAATATAAATCAATACATTATAATTTTGATTTACTCTATATATTACAAATCTACCTAGCAACTAATCCAAATGTAGATTTCTGTGATTGTTAATGATAGACAACAACTGTGATCCGAATTGTGTGTACAAAACATTGATTTGTACACTACTTACTGGTTACAATTAATTA